GTCCAGGCCTGGAGATTCAGCCGCTGTTGAAACTGATCAGTGGCTGATTCCAGGAAGCTGGGGGCAGAGCAAATCTGCCTCCAGCTTCCTGTAGTCAGGCCCTGGTCAGTTTCAGCAGCAGCGGCTGAATCTGGAGCCAGTTCCAACTTACATACAAATTCAACTTAAGAACAAACCTATAGTCCCTATCTTGTACGTAACCCGGGGACTGCCTGTAAATTATTTCATAATAGAATCCAAAGAAGATACGAGTTTTGGGTGCTGTGTAGATGCACCCTAACAGATATGGTGGGATGAGGCAAATAGGGGGCATCTTGTCCAATTCTTTACATTGGTTGATTATGACAACAAAACTCATAGAAAGGGAAGGGTGAATTCCTTCATATCAGATAGGGAATTATTTGGGAGGCAGGATGGAAAAGTAGTCAGTGTGAGCAAGGACTTTTCATCCTCTGAGTGAAACTTGGCAGTCCAGTCAAATGTTTGGAGTCTTTTTCACTAACTCTATCAAGGTTTTGTTCCATTTGGTGCTTAGCCTCACACTGGCATCCTTCCTCCAGGAATAAGATGACTTATAATTTCCATCTTAATAATAAAATACTAATAATGAAATAGAAACAAATGTGTTGAACGATATTTGTATAACCTGGAAACTAGTACAATTAAACATATTCATACTGTAATTATTTGTCTCCCCATAGCTTGGGAATTTCTGGGAGGGAGGGGGGAGAAGGTGGGCACCAGTAGCCAGAGTTGTAAAGCTTTTGTCTTCTCACTACATCTGGTAAAACAAATTTGAGGACTGAGAAACTTTTAATAAAATGGAGAGAGAGAGAGAATATGAAGGAAACTGCACCTTTGCATTGCTCACAGCAGGCTCCTCTCTGCTTAATGACCAGAGAACACTCCTTGGAAAGCACCGGACACTTCTCTCGTTTGCATGTCACTTCCTTATTCTAGGCAAAAAAGGCAGAAGTTGTTGAAAACAAACAAAAAAAAAATCAAACATTTGTTCTCCATTTCATGACAGTCAGAAAGTGAAATATGGGTTTAGTAAGTCACTCCCTGCTTGACAAGAGACCTTTGTGACTCAAAATAATCAGAAATCCCCTCAAACGGTATTTTTCTCTTATGGTACATACTGAGAAGAGGGTACAAAAGGAAAAGGAAATCATGAAGAGATCTAACTTAGATAAAGTAATGCCAAAAGAAATGTGGGGTTCCTTTGCCCATTCTAATGTTACTTTTTGGTATAGTGTAGAAAGGATAATATTTTTGTAAACTATATTTCAAACTAGTAGAGTACCTGGTCCAAGACTTCCTTGTGTGAACAAAAATATTTGCACACAACTGTCCAAAAGTGCTGAATAGTACAGTGAATTAAAGTGCAACAGTATGAAGTTCCAAACTAAATAATAACTAAGTTGGTTTTCAATGGATTCGGTTTAAAAAAAAAGAAATATAAATTCCAAAGAAATATTAAAGAAAAGTTTATAAAAGCGCTATGATAATAGGGCCGTATTAACAAAAGTGTTTCAAACATTTCATTTGCTATTATTTCTAAAAGGACACCAGTTTAAAATACAGTAAAGCCTCAGAGTTATAAACACCTCAGGAAAGGAGGTTGTTCATAAATGTGAAGGATTCTTAACTCTGAACAAAACAGTATGGGTATTCTTTCAAATGTTTACAACTGAACATGGACTTAATACAGCTTTGAAACTTTACTATGCAGAGGAAAAGCGCTGCTTGTAGCCATTTTAATTGAAATGAAACAAGCACAGAAACAATTTCCTTACTAGGGATATGTAAGGTTAACCGGTTTTGGTTAACCAGTGGGGGCTAGAGCCCTGGCGGGCCCATAGCAGTTAGGGGCACTGCAGCCCGGCCTGAATAGCCCCTGTCCACGGCACGCCCAGGCACATCACAGTTAAGAGCTGCTCCATCCAGGCTGGAGCAGGCCCCCACCCCTTTAATCAGTTAAACGTGCTGTTTAACCGGTTAACCAATTAAATGGGATTTTACATCCCTATTCCTTACCTTGTCAAATATTTGCTTTTATTTAAACGTTCACTTTTTAAGTAGTTTATGTTTAACAACAACAAAAAAGCTGTATTTGCTTTTTAGGGGGCGCAGGGTCTCTGTTGCCGATTGATTATATACTTCCCGTTCCAAATGAGTTGTGTAGTTGACCAGTCAGTTCAGAACTCTGAGGTTCCACCGCATGTGTAAACACGCACACAGCTTCAATTCAGTCTGAGCCATAAAGAGCAGAACTCTGGTAAATATTTTCAAACCCAGGGGATCCCCAGGGTGCCAATTATGGGTTGAAACCCAGAGGCCCAATACAGCCTGCAGGGCAGATGCTCAAAGAAACATTTGGGGAGAATTTAAGCCCTGTGCTTACAGAATAATGCACTTAACTAAATCCTATTGGCTGCAGTGGGGCTTAAGCATGTGCTTAAGGCACACTTCATCTGACAGAATTAAGCGTATGTTTAAAATTAAGCATCTGCTCAATTATTTTCGAATAGGGTTGCCAGATGGTTTAACCAAAAATGCCAACCCGCCTCCCCCCCAAAAAAAAAACACTGGGGAAAAATTCTGTTGAGGGGGGAAAAAAGAGGGGGAGACCAAAGTTGTTGAGGGAAAAAAAAAGACTCCAAGAGTTATTAAGCAAAAATAAATACATAAATAAATAAATAAAACAGCATTAAAACAGCATGGCCCCTTAAGTGCGTGTAGAGTAAGAATAGGAATAGGGATAGGAACAGGGAAGTAGTTGGTGACTAAGACCCAGGGAAGGCATTGCTTCACCTTGCTCAGGTCTTTAGGCTTTTTGCCAGTGGCCATCTTGTTTTCTTGGTCAAGTCAGAAGGGAGCTTCCCTGCAGAACCAGGTAAGTTAGGAGTCCAGGAGCCCGGGAGGGGCCAGGAGCTGGGCCCAGATGCTGAGTGTGTCATAGGGTTGCCAAGTGTCTGGTATTTTCTGAATTTTTTTAACCGGACAGGATGCAAAAATACCGGAATGTCCCGGTCAATACCGGACACCTGGCAACCCTATTTTCTAAATACATATAGGGATTAAGCATATGCTTAGTTGATTTGCTAAAATAGAGCCTTAATATAGCTACATTTACTTGGGATTGCTGTTTTGTTGAACATCTCCTGAGTCTTGCGGAACATATTTTGGCCATGAGAGGAAATGCTCTGCTTAATTGGGAGATTGATAGCAACAATAACAAATCCACTTATTGGCAATTAATTTGTCCAGTGATAAAAGATTAATCTGTATTTAACCAGTTGTTACATGCGTGAGCTTCTAAAAATCCAATCTTTTAATTTGCAAAATAACTGCTAAAAGATGATATAATGAATAATTTGTATTCAATAAATGTTTTCTTCACATAGGGCCTGATCCTACTCGTGTGCTGAGTGAACTAAAATTCCTTGTATTTCAATGAGAACCGAGGGTTGTGGTTCTTCTTAGAATTCAATAACTTCCAGTACTGGGCCCATAAAATCACTTTACAAGTATAATTTTTTGCGTCCCCTAACATTTTTGTGTTTCAGTGTGCCAGCTTCTATATTATGTTAATATACGAGTTTTGATTTTACACTATCTTTCACCTTACACCTATACACTGGCGTGAAGTGCTACACAAAATACAAGGCAGAGGAAATATCACTTCCAGGATTACTTTTTGATTTACAATACAAAGACTGCATAGCATGCACACACAGATATAAACTGATGTGGTTACAATGTGTTCACCGGAGCAATCATTGGCCCAGAATGTTCTAACGTATCATCTCTCAGCGCATGTTCAAATAATTAAGAACAACACTTCTTTAGAAATATAATAAATAAATAAGCCTGGTTTTTGTTGATCAGATATGAGCTAGCACATAAGCAGCTAAACCCCTCCTCCAAACTATTTATTTTGAAATACTTCTTTTAACTTCCAACCCCCTCAGGAAAACCCCAGGAAAATAAATACATTTTGCAACATGACCTGAGGGCCATCATATGTGAGTTCTAACATACCATGGGGTCAAGCTGGTGTAGAACTTCCTTCAAAAACCTGCCAGTAGCCTTAAACCCATTTAAATCAAGGAGTTATTTGCCTGATCCCTTGTTTTATCCCACCTGTCATGGGATCATAAGAGATGCAGGCAGTTCCTAAACTCTACAGGATTCAAGCTACATAGAGCTTTTCAGCTTAACCACCATCTAGATCAGTGTTTCTGAAAGTGCTCCGTGAAACCACTTTGAGAAACACATTAACTGGCCGCCCAAGATTGTTTATTTGCTGGCGCTGCAGCCACAGAGCCTAGCAGCTCCCATTGGCTCTGTTTCATCTTTTGCAGCCAAGGGGAGCTACAGGAAGCGGCGAGGGCCGGGCCACCGCTTCCCGCGGCTCCGCTTGGCTGCAAAGAGAGAAAGTGGTTTCATGGAGCACTTTCAGAAACACTGATCTAGATAACTGGTAGCCACCCACAGAGCACATATTTAATGAGATCCATGTGGAAATCCCACGTACGGGGACAGGCACGTTCTGCACTCACTACAATTTGCTGAGGTTCTCAAGATGTAGCACCATACACTGCCTGTTTTAATGATCCTATTTTAAGGTGACAAAAACACAGATGCTGGTGGAGTGTCTGCACCCCAAAGAAAACACACAACCCTATTGCTATGTGCCAGTGAAGAAAAACAAACATTTTTTTGAGTTAAGGACCCGAGCAATTCCAGCTAAATCTACTAGTTTTTATATATTTGAATGATACAAAAAATACCAGGAAAAAACAAATAATGCTTTTTCTTTTTTGGTAAAACCCAGACATTTTTGGTAAAAATGTGTTTAAACTGAAAATGAAAGGACTTTTCCATTGCCTGGGTAATAGTAGCTCGTCAATCTTTTGTTTTCTCTTATGATTGTCAATCACACGGAGCAGCCCTAGCACCGCATAAGAGTACAAAACAGGCATTTATTTTTTAAAATAAAATTTTGCTACTTGGAATTCCTGTCTTACATTTAGCCCTCTGAAGTGAGCTCCACCTATAATTACTAGTCCAGTTCATTAAGTAACACAGGTGGCCATTTACCAGATGCTAGTCTCTCTCTCAATGGATTTTATGGCTTAATTAGACACTGGGGGGGAAAAATCAAAGAGGTAGAAAAATGTCAATCAGAAAACTGAAGCACAAAAGGCGCTGCACACCACGCATTTGCACTTGCTTCTGTTTGCTTCCTGTGGTCTTGCTCATGATGCTTATGAAGGAACATATAAAACTTTTTTTGCAAGCTTCTTGAACTTAAAATCATAGCTTTATTCTTCATACAGTCACTGCCTAATGTAATGGGGAGTATAAAGGACTTGATTCTTACACCAGCATAAACCAGGAATAAAACATTTATTGTTTTCATATTGATTTCAGTGTAAATAAGAATCAGGCCCTAAAGGAGGGTTGACAACCTTCCAGGACTGGCCCGGAGTCTCCCAGAATTGGAAATCAATCTCCCAGTGACGACTGAAAGCAGTGATTTTAATAGGATGTTTTAAGAAAATAATATGATGTCATGTTGGGGGGAATAGGGAAAGTCTCCTGGAATAGCTTCAGTCAGTGTTGGCAATCCCACCATAAAGGTGTTAACTAATGTATAATTGTGGTCAGAAACATGATTATTTTAACAGATTGTAACTAGTGTGACAGACTCACTGACACATTACTCCAGTTTTGCTCTTCTCCAGTATTGCAAAGCAACCATAAACCTGGATTTAACCATCCAGTTAAACTGGGTTTATGGCAGTTTTGCATTGCTGAATTGGCACAAAGTACCCGTAACCAGACACATTAGTAAAATTGGCTCAACAATTTATTATTGAATGCAGTATGCCAAATTCTGCTTCTGCTTACACCTGTGTAACAGCATTGACTTAAAATGATTTGA